ACACTTCATATCCATTCTGGTCTATTACGCGCCCCACGATTTTCATTTTCAATCTCCTAAATTATTTATAATGACTTTTACTAAAATTTCAAAATCAAAAAACATCAAAACAAATTCTATGGGACTGAGAATTATGTATTATTTTCTACTTTTTAGTCCTTTTATAAAAGCGTTGTATATTAAAAAGTTTTTTTTTTTTTTATATTATTTATTTTCTACTTTTTAGTCTTGTCTGTATACAATTTTGCAATAGATATTAAATTAATTCAACGATACCCTGCAAAAAATTGTGCGACTAATCTCTAAAGAGAGTATTCCGAGATTACTCTCAATCGGGTACAGTTGGTCGTTAATTAGTCACAGCTAGTCTCATACGGGCACTATTGGAGATCAATTAGTCTCGACTCACCCCTTACGGATATAATTGGCGATCAATTAGTCCCCGACTCATCTCTAACGGTACAATTAACGATTTAATGACATGTGCGCAATTAGTCAATGAAATTTCATGTGTGGCGATGACACATAGAGAGAGTATTTGCTTAACAAAACTGAAAACCCCGGTTCGATTCGCAGCCAGCGCAATTTTTAATTTTTATTTTTTAAAAGTGAATAGTCGCTTTTATACCCGTCCGGGTATAAAGAGGAACAATTAGTCTCTTCATAGGACATGCTCAAACAAAAGCGAACAGTTCATTCCATATAAAAGATCAAAAGTGGTATTAGTCGCATGTTCCTTTGCGATTGCAAACGGAGTCATCCCGGATTAGTCGCATTTTTTGCAGGGTAGCAATAGATTGGTGGACACACATGCATATACAAGAAATAGATTTACTTAACTTTGTGTAGTTAAAAGTAAATCCTTTGTTATATGTTATTCCCTTTGTTTTAAATAATTAAAGAAAAAGTCGATCGGGTTTTGGTATAACTATGTTTAATACATAATTCCGTTTATTTAGTTTTAATTATTTGGCTATGTTACTCAAACATATAAAATCGGCAAAGGTTAACAAAAACGAAGTTCGGGTTTTTACACCTTAATAACGACTGACTTTAACACCAGCTGAGGACTAGCGACTAGGGTTCTTGCTTAATAATAGTAATTGAGTTTTTTGTACGTTCGGATAAATTATGAGTGATGAGAATAAAACGATAAGTAGGTAAACTATGACTCACATTGAGTGTTTCAATGAGAGTATATAACTCGCTCTCCGATAATGAATTCGCGTCCCTGCGAATTTACAAGTTAAATTTTTACATTTTTTATGTTTAAACGTTACAATAATTTTACTCATAAAATGTAAAACTTTGTTCTTTGTGTTAAAATATAAATCGATAAATGCATGAGCATTATATATAATTCAAAATGTTTAATATCCGAACCATACTATCAATGTTATACTTTTTCTTTCGTTTTAAATTTCACAGTATTTTTTGTTAGAAAATTGGAAACTTTAAAGTTCAATGTTTACATATTGTATACAAACTACAAATCGAATAATGCTTAAACATTAGATACATAAAGCACATCAACTACAAAGCCACCATAATAATGACATTAACTACATATACATATTTTGTTTAAATATTTAGGTTCTACAATGTTTTTCTTTTGATTCTATTTTATACATTTATATTACATTTCTTTATGTGGCCTTCTGATGTGGGCTATGTCAATTTTGTTAGGAAAACTTTTGGGTAGTTTTATAAATCTTTTGGCAGTTTTATTTCTACTAGCAAGAGGGTTTTTAATATAAACTTTGTTGTTATCAAAGTTTGGCACGTTTTCCCGTTTAGCGTTGATTTTGTCTATAGTTTTTTTTTTCTTTTTGAAGGCAAAATTTGGAATTTTTCTAAAATCAATATTTTTATTGTTAATAAAATCTATCGGTTTTACGTTGTTCGAGCTGTGAATTGAATTGTTATAGTAACCAACTGATTTAATCATAATCTCCTCAATTTCCAAAGAATTGTCTGTGTTTTTTAAAATGCGGATATGTTCCAATAATATGGAATGAAGTCTTTCAACATCTGCGTTGCCAGTGTGACTGTTCCGAGTAGTGAAATGGGGAATTATGTCATTTTCGCGGCAGAATAGTCTGATAAGTGAGTTATTAAACTCGTTGTCCATTACTAATTTCTTCGGTTTTCCTAGCCAAGCCAAGCTTTCTTGGAGTTTAATTTTTATGGTGATCATGTTTCTATTGGGTAATTTATGTACGGAAGCTAGTTTGGTGAACCTGTCGATAGTCGTCAGAAAGCATGTGCGAAAACAATAGAAAACGTCAGCGTGTACTATTTCGTTCGGACCACTAGGAGTTTCCGTGTAATTAAACAGGTTTTTCAACGGATTTCTCGCGTATTTGTTCTCGTTGCACACATCGCATGTATTAATAAATCTATTGACCACCTTTTTAAGATTCGGATAAAAATAATTAGATTTAAATTGCTCGTAATTTTCTAACACTCCCCTATGATTTCCTTCGGTATGAATTTTTTCCACTACCTCTAAAACTTCTTCCTCCGTTCTCATGTCTAACGCCTTGTAATAACACTTAGTAAATTTAATTTTACTGTCATTCGAAAATAAGCTTATTAATTTTTCTTGAACAATATTGTATAGATTATTAGGTAACTCTGAATGAATTCCTATTGTTCCTTTCTTTACATATTTTCTAAATAGATCCGTAAGGTAAGTATTCTTGTGTAAATCTGCTTGGGCTATATAAACTATTTGGTATTTGTTGTATAGTATTTCGCTTTCAACTGTTTTATTTTTCACTAGCCGTATTTGAGTTGAATACTTGTTTACTATTGATTCAGAGATAAGGAAATGATTATTTAAATTTTCGGATGCTGAATGCACCGTTTCTATCGAATTCTTAAACAAAGACTTAATGTCATAGTTTTCTTCGTTTTCTACTGAATCAATATCTTTTTGTCGACTTAGAAAGTCAGCGACATTATTTTCCTTGCCTTTGATGTATTCAACTTCAAATTCGTATTCGCTAAGCAATGTTTTCCACCTTAAAATGCGGGCGCTTGGATCGTTCATGGAATACAGCCGTTTCAAGGGTTGATGATCAGTTTGTATGACAAATGCGCGTCCGAATAAATAAGGTCTGAAGTTCCGCACCGCCCATACTATTGCTAACAGCTCTTTTTCCAGCGTATGGTAACGCTTTTCGGATCCATTTAATGTGCGACTAGCGAAGCAAATTGGCTTGTTATTTTGACTTAAGACAGCGCCTATCGCGACATTACTGGCATCTGTTGTCACAGCAAATTTTTTTAAAAAATCTGGGAATGCTAGTAGCGGGGGTGATGTCATTATAAGTTTTAACTTGTCAAACGCCCCGATATATTCTTTGTCCCTTAGATTAATTTTTTAATTTTTCCTCAAATATTTGATTATGGGGGCAGCTATCACAGAATAATTTCTAATAAGCTTCCGGTAGTATCCCGTCAGTCCAAGGAAGGATTGAATTTCTTTTACAGTCCGCGGTAATTTTATTTTTTGTATGGCCTGTATTTTTTCGGGGTTTTGTTTGATTCCCTCGGGTGTAATAATATGCCCAAGAAATTCTGTGTGCTTTGATAGGAATTTGCATTTATCGTACTGTATTTTTAAATTGTTTTCGGACAAGCGATTAAATATCTTAGTTAGACTCTCAAAATGCTCAGTGATAGATGTAGAAAATATTAGTATGTCATCCATATAAATTATGCATATTTTATTAATATAATCACTCAAGATCGTATTCATCATGCGCTGGAAGGTAGCAGGTGCGTTTTTTAATCCAAATGGCATGCGCGTAAATTCGTAATGTCCATTTGGTCCAGAAAAGGCTGTTTTTTCTATGTCACTTTCGTCCATCAAAATTTGGTGAAATCCTTTTGCAAGGTCAATTGTGGAGAAATATTGTGCTCGCCCTAGCTTTTCAAAGAGTGACTCTATATTTGGCAATGGAAATTTGCCGTCAATAGTAAGGGTATTTAATTTTCTATAATCTATTACCCGACGCCATTTCTTTTTGTTACCACAACTCGATTTTTTCTCCACGATCCACAAGGGGGAGTTGTAAGGAGATTTGCTTGGCCTAATTATACCGTTATCTAACATACACTTCAGCTGGGAATTTATTTCTTCTTCCAGTGCATATGGATATCGATAGTTTCTACTGTATATAGGAGCATGAGGCTTCGTTATGATTTGTTGTTTAACAGATTCTAAAGCAGGTAGGTGTTGGCCTTCTTGGAAAAACATGTTTTTGTATTTTAATATAAATAATTTTAATAGCCGTCGTTCTTCGGTATTCAAATCAGTGCTAATTAATGTATCTATCTTGAAATTGCTTTTATCTAATGAATAGTTGTCAGGATATGTGTCAGTTTGAGAACAAAAGGCATAAAATTTATCGTTATTAGAAACATAACTTGCAACTTTATTATTAGCAAACGGAATTAACTTGTTGTTGACATGTACTACTTGTTGTGAAAAGTCAATTAGAAAGTTTAGGGGGGAAGAATATTTAGTCCGAGTATGCAATGGGATGGCTTGTTTTTTAAATTTAATAGTTTAATAGACATTGTTTCGTTTTCCCTCTCAAATTCCGCAGGAGTATTTACAATGACTTCTTCTGATATGAGTTCGGATGCAAAAAGTGTTTTTATAAGGATTGGTTTTTCTAATGCTCTACGGCCACGAAAATTTCCAAACATTTTAATGTCGTGGTAGCCGATCCGGTATCGACTAGACATCTTATTGCAATACCTTCGACTGTAAAATCTATCAGGGGTAAGTCGGTCGATGTGGAGAAAGCTGAAAATTTTCGATGTTGTCTACTTCCATTGGAACAACATGGGACTGCCTATTGTATCTTACATTGTTAGAAAACCTTCCAGAATCGTTTGCATATCTGAAGTTTCTCTGACGACTCGATCCACCCCGAACATTCCCACTGGCATTGTCTCTGCCATAGTTATTTCTGTTATTATTTTTACTAAAGTCGCTGTTAATATTTTCATAAAAGTTTTTATTTTAAAAATTTCTGTGATAGTTGTTACGATTTTTGTAATCTGTAACTAACTTTATAGTTGAATTTTTTGAGTTATACCTATAAAAATTTACACCGTTTTCATCATTTTCATTTATATTTCTTTTGTGAAGGAACGCACTGGAATTATTGAGGAAATTACGATTATGCTTACTATTTTTAAAGTGAGGATCAACCTTAGTTGTACCGCTGTGTAATTAATATCGTTCAACATATTATTTTGTAAATAGTAAGTGAACGCAGTTTCCAAGTTATCTATATTATTTTGTAACAACAAAGTTTTAACATTAAAAGGCAGGAATTATAAGTAAACATCAAAAATTAATTTGGAATTATTAAGTGGTGTATACAAAGGATCATTTGCACCTTCTAAAATATATTTGGTATTCATATTTTGTAAAACAGTTCCTAACTTATTGTGCAAATCTTCAATGTTTAAGGCTCTAACATTCATTGCGTCGTTTCTTAGGCTTAAAAATGTTGATTTGACTCCAAATTCTTCCTTCAGTTTTGTTAATATATCGTCGAAACTTGGTTCGTTGAGTTGTTGTATGACATGTAATGCGCGGCCTTTCAACTTGTTGCACAAAACCTTGGATATAATAATAATAATAATAGTATCAACAACAAGAATTTTTAACCATTTACAAGAAAAAAAGCCTTGGCTTACAACTATGTGAGCTTCGTACATGTACTCTGCACTCGCATAAGGCAATACACAAAACATGGATTTTTTTTGTAAAAAAAGTTAATTTTTTTGAAAGAATTTATAACAAGCATAAAAGTAATTAAATTACCTTTGTTTTAGTTAGTATTAAAAACAAGAATTTTTAACCATTTACAAGAAAAAAAGCCTTGGTTTCAACTATATGAGCTTCGTACATGTACTCTGCACTCGCATAAGGCAATACACAAAACATGGATTTTTTTGTAAAAAAAGTTAATTTTTTTGAAAGAATTTATAACAAACATAAAAGTAATTAAATTACTTTTATTTTAGTTAGTATTAACAACAAGAATTTTTAACCATTTACAAGAAAAAAAGCCTTGGCTTACAACTATGTGAGCTTCGTATATGTACTCTGCACTCGCATAAGGCAATACACAAAACATGGATTTTTTTGTAACAAAAGTTAATTTTTTTGAAAGAATTTATAACAAACATAAAAGTAATTAAATTACCTTTATTTTAGTTAGTATTAACAACAAGAATTTTTAACCATTTACAAGAAAAAAAGCCTTGGCTTACAACTATGTGAGCTTCGTACATGTACTCTGCACTCGCATAAGGCAATCCATACACAAAACATGGATTTTTTTGTAAAAAAAGTTAATTTTTTTGAAAGAATTTATAACAAACATAATAGTAATTAAATTACTTTTATTTTAGTTAGTATTAACAACAACAATTTTTAACCATTTACAAGAAAAAAAGCCTTGGCTTACAACTATGTGAGCTTCGTACATGTACTCTGCACTCGCATAAGGCAATACACAAAACATGGATTTTTTTGGAAAAAAGTTAATTTTTTTGAAAGAATTTATAACAAACATAAAAGTAATTAAATTACCTTTGTTTTAGTTAGTATTAAAAACAAGAATTTTTAACCATTTACAAGAAAAAAAGCCTTGGCTTACAACTATGTGAGCTTCGTACATGTACTCTGCACTCGCATAAGGCAATACTCAAAACATGGATTTTTTTGTAAAAAAAGTTAATATTTTTGAAAGAATTTATAACAAACATGAAAGTAATTAAATTACCTTTATTTTAGTTAGCATTAACAACAAGAATTTTTAACCATTTACAAGAAAAAAGCCTTGGCTTACAACTATATGAGCTTCGTACATGCACTCTGCACTTTAACATTGCGTCACATTAGCGGTTAGGGGTAATGGCTTCTGCTGCATTCATGCACTGCAAAGCAATTGCATTATTTGATGCCGATTCTGGAGTTGATGGCGTTCTGATGGGATCGTAGTTTCTCTGTTGGGAATATAGAAACCGAATTAGAAACTGTAGTATCCTTGCCGGTTGCATCATATAAGTAAGAAAACAGTAAATAAATGATGTAGTTGAAAAATTACATTTCGGGTACGGTTTAGTTATTCGTACAATAATTTTGGTTTGCTGTGCCCAAACCCGTTACCCGAATCAAAATCGTTGTATAAGTAACTAAACATTTTCTAATATTTCTGAAGCTTTCTTTTACGCACCTTCTTCTCTTCTTCACTGTGAGTGTTGTAAGTTTAAACGAACCGTATTGAGGCTGGATGGAGCAATGGAGGTAAAGCGAAATGCGCTTGCTTCGCGTTGATCCTTGAAATAGCAGGGTGTGTCTTTTTCGAGCATATCGCTGGCGAGGACGAGCTGGAGCTGTTTCCAAATTGCCCTACAAAGGATTAACTCCTGAAGAAATTATAAGGCGAGCTTTACAGTTTGAAAAGGCAAAGCAGTACAAACGCATTTATAGAGAAAAGAAAAAACAAAATTAATGTATTACGTAAAAGCATGTTTTAACCCCACACTGGGTGAGAATTTTTAAAACGGCTCACTTTTTTCAGTGATGTGGAAATTTAAAATTTTTATTTGCAAATAGCTAGTCCTAAAGGGTTGATAAAGTGGAATATTTTTTGGTTTCTTTGAATATTCATTTGAGAAAAACTAGTTTATTAAACGGCTTCCTGAACAACTGATGAGCTTTTTTAAAATAATATATTTAAGGTCAGTGAACATTTTTTATAACGTTTGTAACTTAACTTTTTAATTTAATTTTTTTAATGACTTTAATCACATTTGTTTAAAACAAATATGTATAAAATCATTATGATTTTTTTTGCTAGCTTTAAATATATTATTCTAAGTTCATCTTTTTTTATAAAATCCTTAAAATTTCAAATCGTTTAGTGTACTAGTTTTTTGTAAATTAATATTCAAAGAAATCATAACAAAGCTTTTTAAATTGAAGGTAAAACTATTTTGAAAAACGACTTCATCAGCCGTCTTCAAGATGATTAGGATTAACTATTAAAAAATATATATATTTCGACATCCCGGAAAAAATTTATCCGTTTTACAAATTCTCACCCTTCGCCTTGGTTTCCATCCACATAAAATGCTCTAAGCCTGAACTTACAAACTATGAATTTAAGTTTCTTTCCGTTTTTCTTCGTTGAAGAATATATTTACTACCTCACTAATGTTATTTATGTTAAGTTTTTGCTATTGATATTAAAATGATATAAAACTTGATGAACTTTAACTACTTTGATATATTTCTGTGGACTTTTAACAAAACAGCTTTTGCGATTTTAGAATGTTTATCATCAGATTAAAAGATAATTAACTTCCGTTTAAAAATTTTTAGTTTTTGTTAAGCTATTTTAATTTTAAACTATACCCAAGACTAATAACTAGTTCGAATATTGTAAGAGAACTCAAAAATATTGCTTTAAACAGAAAGTGACATAACAGATAAGTTGTTTTTTCAAATGTCTACAGATTTACTTTTTGCTATAAAAGGGAATTTATCCAGGGGCATAAAAAGCGACTAATCTACTTTTGTACCCGTGCAGCTATAGAAGCGACTAATCTACGTGTATACCTGTCAGGGTACAGAAGTCGACTAATCTACATGCATACCCGTCCGGGTACAGAAGGCGATTAATCTACATTTATACCCGTTCTGGTATAAAAAGGGTACAATTAGTCTCTCCGTAGGACATGCTCGAACAAATGCGATCAATTCGTTCCATACAAAGAGACGAAAAATAGTAGTAGTCGCATGTTCCTCGGCGATTGATCCCGGATGCATCCGGGATTGGTCGCGTTTTTTGCAGGGTATTAATAGGTTGATGCACACACATGCATATGCGTATGTACATCAGCAATGGGCAGAAACAGCTTTTAGTCTGAGCGCGACGATACAAAATATATAGAAAGCTTAAAAGAGCTTTGCCCGCGGGTAAGGCAGTGCCCATCGCCGATGTACATACATACGAGCACCAATTAATTTCATTTAAAGCAGCGATTTAAAGAAATGGAGTTTCGTCCATCTACCTCTCAATCCTAGGGAATCTAGATATATTTCTGCATCAAAAATAAAATTTTGAAAAAAATGTCGCTTACGTTATTTTGGCGGTTAGGGCTCGATATCCTTCGAGTAACAATTTCGAGTTTCGAGCCAACACGTTGCAAGGCAACTCATAGGAATAAGTTGCACTCCAGTACGGCAATACAAGCGAAGCAATTATATGTTTCATGAAAAGCTGTTCAATAGTAAAGCTTGTTTAAAATATACGCAACCATGATTTAGTTCGAAACAAATGTACATGACGCTAGGGGTATTCTCCAAATCTTGCAAAGCCATTGAACGTTGCACGGATTGCATGGATTGCATAACTTGCAAACACACAACAACAAAATTCATGGGAAACAACATTTCCTTTCGCTGCAAAATATGCAACGTCGAAACCCATGTATGTATATATTTTGCAAAATAGCATAGCAAGATAAGTGCGACCCTGTGCTAGTTGTTTTGTTGTTGGAATTGCTACATATTTCTCTCATTCCTCTCATCTCGCTCACTTTTTTTGAAGTGAAACTTCTTAGGCGGCGGCATCGCAAAAATGGAGAGTGAGTGAAATTTTTAAAACGGAAAATGTTACATGAGTGAGAAGGAAGATATGCATAGTATAGAGGAGGGGAAAAAGAAATAAAGCGACGCATACCGGGTACGAGTACCTAGATACATATGTATGTTGGAATGCACGTATGTACATACATATATATGTATGAACGAACTCATTTCGCATTTCAGCTCTGCCGCTTCCAAGCAATATATGTATAAATGATGCAAGCGTGCTTCGCGTAACTACATCCATTCGTACATATGTACATATGTTTGTATAGATATCTTTATGATGAAGCAAATGGGCTTCGTTGATGTACTGATGGGCATATGTATGTACTTATGGACAGCAATGTTTTCGTGTATGTACATATGTTTGAATGGTTGTATATATATTTGTATCAGGGATGTTGCGAATGTGAAATTTTAGACATCCGCGGATGCGAATTTGTTTGTTCACATAACGGTTGTTTGTAACAGGCAAAACGAATCGAGATAGATATAGACAAATGTATACACAAATGATCAGAATGAAAAGAATAATCGTCTGTGCACACGATAACTCGAGTACAAATTGAGATATCTTAACGAAACTTGGTATGTGTACTTCTTTTGATGGTGTTGAAAATTGGCAAAATTGGATGATAACCATATAACGGTAGTTTTCAAAAATACGAAAACTGAGATATTTTAGTAACTACTGAAGCTTACTCACTCAAAATTGATATGTACAATCATTTTTACGCGAAAAATAAGAATATTATAAATTTTTGGAAAATGGATGTAGACATCAGTTTTAAAGCTATTTAAGTCCTCTTTAATTTGATACCAAACTTGTTTAATTTGGATAAGCAGTTTGTTTATTATCCGGAAAGGGCTTTTAGTTGGGAATAAAAAATATTTGGCCAAGTTTAACTCGTAAAGAAAATAACTGTTATTTTCGGTCCCTTCAATATTCGCATTCGCAAAAGAT